GATTGCTGCCTTTCACACAAGAAAATCAACTCAATGACGCAGCAGAGGATTTCCACCACGACAATATCAAGAAAAAAAATATATATAGAACAATCCACGAGTAAAAACCCCGAACACGACCTTGAGTTGACGGCATAAAAAAAAGACAAAGAACAAACACAAAAAACCAAAAGGTACAAACTGTCAGAGCTAGAAGAATCGAAACTGCAACTACAAACTATGAATAGAAAAAATCAGGCCGGGACCATGACACATTAAAGTTTTATAAACAGCAAACGCACGTTATCCTAATGCTTTTCTGTATAGATAAATGTCCTCTTTTCCGAACCTCCCTCTGACCCACCACCCTCCCCGCTCCGTAGCGCTTCACATTATTGCACACTCAGGCAAACACAGAGGTAGCGAGGGTACAATGACATTTCAGCTTTTTTGGCCTTCCATAAAACCCCTCTATTTCGCCCTTTGAGCGCAAGTTCTGTTCCTGAGCTCCAGTGCGACAACATGTGAGTTAGATGCCTGCTATTTTGTTTACAGTAAAATGATGTTTATGTGTGTGTATTCGATAGATAGATAGATAGATAGATAGATAGATAGATAGATAGATAGATAGATAGATAGATAGATAGATAGATAGGTAGATAGATAGGTAGATAGATAGATCAAAAGATAGACAGATAATATAATATATAAATAGATAGATGGACGGATCGATAGATGGATAGATAGATGTTTTCGTTGTTATTGTGGTAGTTTTTTGTTTTACAAGGTCTAGTTGTTTTTGACCTTGCTAAGCACTATCTTACACCATATCACAAAATTGTATGTACTGACAGCTGTGGCATCTTTCACCTACGTATTATTAATTATTAGTATTAACAAGCAGTACGCTTTCTGCATAATTTTGTTCCCCGAGAGAAACAAAAAAAGGGCAGATGTATAGATACCAGCTAACCGAATAAAAACGAAAATGTAGGCCATAGACCAACTGACGTCAACATTAAACAGAAGCTAGACGACACCTATCCAGCTTACATTTTTTATTATGTATTCATTCATTCTTCTTCGTAGAGTCGCCTCTGACGAATGACAATAGATCTGCATCTCCTCTTGGCTCTCTGCTTTCTTCAAAGTGTCACGCAGCTCCAAGGCTCTCCGTTCTCGGATGTTATCCTCCCATCTTTTCCCCTGTCTGCCTCTCCTCCGTCCTCCCTACACAGCGCCTTGTGGTAGAAGATAAATGTTGCACAAAGGTAGTGTGACAAAGTAGTTCCTCTTTGTACATTACGCTTTTTTAGTGAAAAACTGTCAGATTGGAAACTTTGAGAAAATTTAAGATTACGAAAGCTTCCAAATATGAACCATGATCTGGGCACTTGTTATTTATCAGTTAAAAACTAGGAGGCAAAAGTGAAACAGAACGAAATTGTATTGTAAGATGGCCCTTTGTGGGGTTTTTTTGTGACGATTCTATCTGATTTTAAAAAATGTTGTTCCCGCTTCCGATCCGGACATTGGGGATTTACTTCCTGGGCCTTTATCTGATGACCCTAGAGAAATTGCTTGTGTGCGTCTGTAGAAGGACGCTGATGATATTGCAAGCAAACTCTTTTTTTTAATATCGAGGTCGTACGGAACAGATTGTAATACTCGTACAAAGGTCCAGATATATGTCCTCTATAAAGACCTTTGCAAAACAAACGCGATAATTCTTGTGGTCTCCTTTTGAAAGACGCATGTTGAAAGTGTTACTTCATCGTCCAATGCCAGATCTGCCGCCAACATCCGAGATCATGGTTCTCCATTCATTCCTTTGCTCGGATGCTCTTTAAAAAACGACGTTTCTCAGACTTTTCTTCGTTACCCATTTGTTTATAATAATAATAATAATAATAATAATAATAATAATAATAATAATAATAATAATAATAATAATAATAATAATAATAATAATAATAATTGCATTTATATAGCGCATATTCATGCTCAAGAGCATGCTCTATGCGCTTTACAACTATTATTACCCCGGCAGACCTTCTGAGAACACTCCGAAACATTCTCAGCTTCCACGGAAGCATACAGTGCAAGCTGCCGATTTCACGAGCTCAAACACTATCAAATTGACAAGATCGTTCACTGTCTATAGCCGGGTACCCATTTCCACCTGGGTGAAGTGAGGAAAATTTGTGCAAAGTGCCTTTCCCAAGGACACAACATCGGGCCCCTGACGGGATGTTTAGGTTCCCTAAGTAGGTTGCTCTGGGCTTACCCCTACCTCGTTGGCCGCCAATTTGCCAGTGAGAGCTAGGTGTTCATGACCTTTACGTCTGTTCAGGTGTCCCAAAAAGTTGCATTTATTAGTCGTTTTCTAATTATTTTTAACAGTGAAAATCCCACGTGGGCTTCAGCAAAAACTACCTCTTTTGATTTCTTTTCGTTCCAGGATATTCTCAGCAGTCTCCTAAGAAACCACATTTCTGTTGCTTCTATTTTCACGATCTTTAGTGATTGTCCAGAATTCACAGCCATTTAGTTGGGTTGACCATACTTATCATTTCAGAACTTTTATCTTGGTAGTCTTTGAGATGTTTCTATTTTGCAGGACTAGGTTAATTTTTTAATTAAAACTAGCCTTAGCTGTTGCAATTCTCTATTTTATTTCTATGGAACATTTGGCATCAGATTTTATTATATATCCTAGATATTTAAACTGTTGGACAGGTTTGATTCGATCTTTTCACCTTTCCTAATGAGATTACAAATATGATTTGTTGCTGTTTTGAATATTGCCTTGCATTCTGCTTTCTTTTCATTCAACAATAATATAATCCTTTACGTTCACTTTCCATTAGCCACAATATCTAGTAGCGATTGAAGGTCATTTTCGGAGTCTGCCATTAAAACCGTAATCGGCATAGCTGATGTTATTTATATTTTAACTATTCACTTTGATACCTGGATATTCATCTATGCTTCTAAGGATTGTTTCACTGTACACGGTAAAGAGGCCCGGTGATATAAGACGCCCTTACCTCACTTCTCTTCTAATCTGCTTATATTCACTGTAATCTCCATTAATTCGTACAGTAGCGTTTTGGTCCCAGTTGCTTACTGTTTTGGAGAAAGAAAGAAGGATGAAGGATAAGGAAAAAACAATAGACGGGCAGACAGAAGACGTAACTTACTCCTCCCCGTCGCATGGCATCTTGTACAACTCTACAACTTGTTCTTTCACACAAACTATTAATGAGATTTACCAACTTCTGTGGAATCCCATTCGTCCAAATATTTTCCGAAGTGTTCCTTGGTCAATTCTGTCAAAGTCGAAAAGGAAGTTGACAAATAAATGAGAACTGCTCTACAATGATTCTCTGCATGGCAATCTGATCTGCAGTTTACGAGTTTGTCCTGAAAGGAGCCTGTTCATCTCAAAGACTTGGTTTCTTTGCAGTCTTGATTCGTCCCTGAATGATTTTGTTGAAGACTTTATCTGCTATATAGCGTAAAGGTTTTAAATGGACACAAACATGGGGGGCCAAAAACAATCCAATTTAATATGTCAAAAAAATAAATTCAACAAGCGAGCGGAAAACGGTTCTGTTTCTATTTTTCTGACGAGTGGCTGGTTTCCTAACAGCAACACTCATATTGCTTAATAAGGAAGATAGACAGGCAACATCAGGCACTGATTTCTAACGAAATCCCTACCACTTAAGGTCACGGTGATTTCAGTAAGATATGTGGGCAAAAATTGGCTCTATATGACGATTACTTTTAAAAATAATCCAAGATAGCATGACTTCCTCGGCTTATTTTTCGGCATTGAGTCAGGAAGGTGGAAAATCGGAATGTTATTATGTCAAATGAGTTAAAGCTGACGTTAAATAATGATTTAGCGGTTCTCGACCTCTTCCCGATACACAGATCTTAGACGTTGTCCGCCAAAGAGGCTTTCACACATCGAGATGACGTTGGCTCGGAGAGGGCTGCATTATATTAAAGAGGGATACAAATTTACACGTTCCTATTTTTGCTTGAAATATTCGTGGATTATGTCCTCTAACACCACCCCCCCCCCTAACCACAAGAAACCCCTCGCTTGTCTCGTTTATTGTTGAGTGTTGTTGGACGATAAGCTAGCTCTCTCTCTCTCTCTCTCTCTCTCTCTCTCTCTCTCTCTCTCTCTTTCTCTCTCTCTCTCTCTCGTACGCGCGCGTACGCAAGCGCGCGCTCTAGAAATATTTGCCCACCAAAGAAAAACAAATTCTATTCGTCAATACATATAAATTAAATTAAATAAAAACGACTTTTCTCCCAAAACCTGAAACACGTTGGGATAATTGCTTTTTTTAAATGTACTTCCTCAGAAGGAAAAAGATACCCTGATACTCATAGATATTTGAAATATACATTGTCCTTTCCAAAGACAATCCGTAATTTTAGATAGGCCCTTACAAGTAGGGTCTAAGTGCGCCTCCTAAATGATCTACATCTACTTTATGTTGATGAGGGTGTAGAATAATATGGCGTCGATGGCCTTTTGGGTAGGTTCTCGGACTCTCAACTGTTAATTCATGGGTTCGAATCCTGTCATGGGCCCTATGTTGTACCTTGGGAAAGGCATTTTATCTTAATTTTCCTCTCGTCACCTGTGTGGGAATGGGTACCCAGACATAAACGGCGAAATATTTTATTAGTTTTTTTGTTTAGCTTTCGATTGCTTTAAGAACTGATTTCACTAGATCTATTAATTACTTTCCGGGAATCCTAGAATGTTTCTGATTGTTCAAGGGTGTGCTAGGGTATTGATATAGTGCAAAGTGCAAAGTCTTGCTGTCCTCTCTCGTTATGTTGGTTTGCTCTTTAGGTCAGAAGTCTTCTTGTAACAAAGGGAGCTGACAATCAACCGAAATTTCCAACCCGTACATATAATGTTTATTATTTGTCATTACGAATACCTACATTTCTTTATTCATGTATGTATTTCTTGTTCTTTCCAGAAAGAAAGAAAAAAACTTGCCACTTGTGTAAAGAAGAACAAAAGAGTCAAGATGCCTGTGTGTAAAGTGGCGGACTCCGCGGGAGACACGATGGACTTGTATGTGATGGAGTCCAAACCCCAATTCTTTGTCGTGCCTACTCTTAAACAAGACTGGGTCGAAAATATACCGGTGAGGCTGTTTCCTTGTTCAATTGTTTGTTTGTTTGCTTGCTTATCTATTGCTCTGTCTGCCTTGTTTGCCTTCCATTTTGGTTCCAGTGCGTGAGAGCAAAATGTGAAAGCGAATTTTGCAACGTTAAATGTCTCAGAAATTGAATTTGACTCTTTCTGATTATTGCTTTTATCAATGATTGTCTCAAGTAGACTTATTTCAGTACTAAAATAAATTAAAATAAAGCAAATATAGAGGGAGTGCTTACTCTTGATCCTTCAACTGTAATAGCCTTTGTCCGAGATCACCTAGCCAGCAGCTGTGATGAGGAGTAAATATCTGACGTTACCTGGTGGGGATTGTGATTAAGAAATGAGTACAGCCTGGTGAAGGCAGGAGGAGCAGCCTTCATGACCTCATCAGACGCTACAATAACCAGGTTATTATGGAGGCAATCGGCCGGCCCATACTGAAAAGGACCTTTATGAGGAGGGGCGAGGAGGCATTTAGCCCCCCCGTCTTCCTAGGTCTCCAATTCTACATTCAAATTCAAATTCAAATTCAAATAAATTAGAATAAAATGAAATAAAACAAAATAAAGAGTCCCAAACTATCAGATTCCAGACAATAACAAGACATTTGCTTCATTCATAAAGTGGTTTCTAATTTTATTCAACACTTTTTTACTCCTATGGCCCTCTCTTCACACCTTTCAGAACTATCCTCTCCGTAATGATGACGTAATGCTGTGCTCGTACACCAAGTCTGGCTGCCACTGGGTGTGGGAGATGGGCAGACTTCTGCTGGACGGGCGGACCAAGGTGGAGGGCACAGAGAAAGAGTCGTCCATGGTGGAGGCCAATACCTTAATGGGGAATATAGAAGACGCCCCCGCACCCAGGATCCTGAATTCTCATTTGGTAAGTGATGTCTTCTGATTGTTGTTGTTTGTTCTGTTGTTGGTTTTGTTGTTGTTGTTGTTGTTGTTGTTGTTTGTTCTGTTGTTGGTTTTGTTGTTGTTGTTGTTGTTGTTGTTGTTGTTTGTTCTGTTGTTGCTGCTGTTTTTGTTGTTGTTTTTCATGCTTTGCTGTTTTTTGTTGTTGGTTTTTGATGATGTTGTACTTGTTGTTGCTTTTGCTGTTGTTCTTTGCAGTTTTTGCTGTTATTGTTGTTGTTGGGGTTAGTGGTTGTGGTGGTGATTTGTTGCTGCTGGTGATGCTGTTGATATTACTATTTCTTTTGGGATCTTTCTATACTTCCCAGGTTTCAATATTATGCTTTTGGTGCGTGCACGATGGCTCTATCAGCTGTGCTCTTCTTTGGTCTGCTGTTTATCAGATGTATAGTATGCATTTGTATAATAGTACGGTCGAATTTTCATTTATAATATGTGGTTCAAAAGCATCCCCCGAAAAAAACAACTTTGTTTCGGGGTTGTTTTGCTTTTTTTTTACATTTGACCGCTCCTGGGGGTGTTTATCCTTCTGCTATCGTCATTTCAAGTCATGTAGACTAGTAGAAAGAAGAAGAAGAGCGAGGCTTGCTTTATACCGACTTATGTTTGACTTGCCGCATTGCCATGTTGAGACCCCCCACCATTATATCACACATTCACTCCGAATTATAAACCCTGAGCTACAAAATGGGCCAATTTCGGAGCGAAAGTACACCCACCGTATTACAAATTACGCGAGGTCGTGTTTTCGACGAATGTTTACGGTACATGTTGCGCTACGTCCAGAAAGAGTGAAGAGTTGGGTTATGATGATATGGGCACTGTTTTACATAATTTCCCAGTTACCTTTATTGTAGTTTCCATAGATTTGTGCCCCTATAATAGACCACGCACTCCCACGATCATGGCCACCGCTATTTGCTCTCTAAATAAATTCATCGCTGCAGAACGTGCACACCATTTTCTGCACCATTATGCTCAAAATTATGGGATAAATATAGCAGTTTCGAGAGAGCACACGACACCGCTCTCCAGTGCCTTCAATTTGGTTCAAAATGAGTTTCATGGTGTGCTTCATAGTGAACCAAAATCAGTCAAATAGCATAATCTAGAACATCATAAAACAAATCTGTTTTCGTTTTCGCCTCTTCTTGTACGTAACATAGGCCAAGACGCTGTTCCAGAAAAGTAACATTGCCATCGCATTAAATCTTTTGTTAATAAAAAACCAATACGCTATAAAATCGTTGCTTCCTTCTAATAATAATATTGGACAAAGAGAAAAACATAATTATTGGGCTGTTTGTTTAAACAACCTTATCTGCTTATAAGCGTGATACCTACTTGGGCAACTTGCCGTTTGGTGACTCGAATATGTAGAACTTTTAATGTTGTTGGGGGGAGGGGTGGTTGTTCGGTATTTTCATAAACCAACAAAACTAAGTACATCCTGATAAATAGCTACGACAAGAGTAGTTTTGTTTACAGGGTTAATTAGTCCTATTCTTATTGTTATACTTATTCTTATTCTTGTTCTTATTTTTATTTTTATTCTTATTCTCTTTATTATTCTTATTCTAATTCTTATTTATATCCTTATTCTTATTCTTGTCCTTATTCATATTCTTATTTTTATTTTTATTCTTATTCTTATTCTTATTTGTATTCGCATTTATATTCGTATTCTTGCTATTATTAATATGAAGTCGATTTATAATCATTTTCAAGACGTATCTGTTTTCTTTTTCCATTTGTTTAGTTCTTTGATCACCTGCCGAAGGATGTCGTGAAGAAAGGCAACAAGGTGATATTCGTGTACAGGAACCCCAAGGACGTGGCTGTGTCTTTGTTCCACCACCACATGAGGATAAAGCAGTACAACTACACTGGCAGAAATTTCGCCTCTCACCTTCAGAGGTACGGCATACACTTTGGTGTAATCTCTTGCACCAAAGTTCTGTTTGCATATACGTCCTCCTGTGTCGAGTTGTTGTTGTTTCATTGTTGTTGTTGTTGTTGTTGTTTCTTTCTCTCTCTCACGCTCTCTCTCTCTATCTCTCTCTCTCTCTCTCTCTCTCTCTGTGTGTGTGTGTGTGTGTGTGTGTGTGTGTGTGTGTGTGTGTGTGTGTGTGTTTGTGTTTGTGTATGTGTGTAGTGCGTGTATGTGCATTCTGTGTTCGTTCTTTTTAACCATAAAAAACAACAAACAAACAATAACAGTCAACAATTTACAAACCATGAAACAAACATTCTTTTTTCTTATATTTTGTGATTAGTGGTTCAAATGTCCTTCATCTTTACCATTAGTTTACTGCTCTGTGGAAATGTTTTCCTGTTCGTCGTTAATTAGTTAACTGTCATATGTGAGGCAGCGTGGTGGAATCAGGTTCCCGTCAATTTTTGGGCACGTAGAGTTATTGGTACCATCTTAAAGCTTGTTCACTTGTCTTTATTTGGATGGAAAAAACATCCATTTATCTTGAATACAAGTCGAGATATTTGCGAATGAAGGAGGTGGGGGTCACCTGTTTTCAGAGGTAAATTTAATGAGAAAAGGGCCGTCAAAGATTAGTAATTTCCAGAGCTTAAGAGTCCGTGGTAACTGAAAATGTTTATTTTTTTGTGCCTTTAATCAATGTTTTTCAGAAAAATCCACACAGAAATCAGTTCTTTAATGGGCATGAAAGGTGTTGAGCCAAATAACAAAAATTTTATAAAAATTCACAAACCTGCGGAAAAATGCAAGTTTCTTCACTTTGATTATTTTGACGAGAGCCTGATTCCACCAGGCTGCCTCACATAATATAATAAGGAAAGAAACCTTAACGTGTGTTGGCCTGCATCAACAATGGTTGAATGGGCAGGTATTGGATATCAAATGTGGGACGTGCTGACAAAATGAGTTACATCTCGCAATCCACAAATGGAGATATCGACAGAAAATCAACAATTTGTAGATTTTCAACTGAAGCTAGTTTCTTCAGGTTTAACAAGCATTTTATTATTTCCTACTAAAGAATCGTAAAAGCTCAGCCTATCTATTCAACAAATTATATCTATTTCTAAAGGGCTAAAATATGCAAAGTAACTCATTTTCTCGGCACGTCTCACAAACAAATCGAGAATATTATCATTGTCCCTGCAATGAACAGTTTCTTCAGATGATATGTTCAAACAGATTTTAAAAAACAGAGCAGTCACAAACACCACGGACACTCTCGACTTTACATACTATTATAGATATTATAACAGTATTGTATTCTTAAGTGACCCTTCTATTTCTCTCACAAGGTTCGTGGATGGTTTGATAGACAACAACAGTATATTCGACTATCTACGAGAGTGGGAAAGATGCATTAATGCACACCCTGACCTGAATATCTGTATCCTGAGCTACGAAGATCTGCAGGTACGTGAACTCGTCTTTTGAGTCTGAGTAAAAGAAGGAGCCTGAACATCGTAGCGGTAACGCTGCAGTTTTTATTTTAGGACTTTATATTCAGATTTGAATGAAATTGAGCTATTGAGTCCACCTGATTATTTACTCAAGCATCTGAGTTTGTTGCCATCTTTTTGTCCAAAAGTTGCAAAAAGTTGCACAAAAAACCTTATAATTTTATTTTTTATCCCCTCTCCCCTTCCCCTTTTAATCTTTTCTTTTTTTTCACTCGCTATCCTCCCTCAACCCCCAACTGTCCCCGCCCTCCCCAACAAATCATCATGCCTTTACACTCCAACTCCCCCAGGAGAACACGTTAGCAGAAGTGAAGCGACTGTCCAAGTTCCTGGGCAAGGACTATGACGACGAGTTCCTCCAGGCAGTCATCAAAGCCACCAGTTTTGACAACATGAAGAAGGAGAAGAAGCACAGCTTTACTGACGACAAAGGGACCATAATGTTTAGAAAAGGTAACAGTTTTGCTTTTTAAATTTGAAGACTACAGGGGGGAAACGACGGCAGTCACAAACTGAAAATCGTGAGAGTACCAATTTTGAACGCTTATTGACTCATAACTGTGTTTCTGTTCAACTGTTGGTTGATTATTATTGTTAGAATTACCATTCAAAAATACCAATCAAACAAGTATGAAGTTATGAGTCCACAAGCTTTTCAAATTGCCACCCTCACAATTTCCAGTTTGTGACTACCGTCCTTTTTTCCCGTGCTCTTCTGTTTTGTTTTTTTTTTTTTTTTTTTTTTTTTTTTTTTTTTTTTTTGGGGGGGGGGGATGATGAAAGTAAACGTGTGCCTTTACTTTGCTCACTTTACGCAGTTCTAGGGTTCTTATGCTCTGTGGGGCCATTTTAGGTTCGCTATAGCAACCGTCATGAAATCTGCAAGTTCCCATAATATAGAGAAGAATACTTTGATTGGCAATCAAGGAACAATCACTCTTACAAAAGGTGATTATTTTGAGTAAAGTTAATTTTAGCTATCCATAGGGAATGTACTTTAGCCACTGCGCAGCTCCATGGAGTCCGTACTCTGTGAATCCAGTTTGGGTTGCCAATGGCATTTGTCATCAAAGCAGCAAGCTTCCACAATAAGTATAAAGGTGTAGAAGAACAGATTCAACTACGATTAAGGAACTACACGTTGGAAGCCAGGCAGCTGAATAACACAAAACGTTGAAGCCCACGTGTAACTTGGCGATTTATTTTTTAAAATATTTTTTTTAATTTAGTTGCGGTAAGAGTATTATTGCACTTGCGACAAAACAGGGTCTTGTGAATGTTTGCAGAAGATTAAAGGTGTATCTGAATAATAACTTGCAAATTAAAATATAAAAAAACATAAAAGGTGACAATGACGATAAATGTTTGAAAATAATAAAGAAGGAGCGAACCGCACCACATTGGCCGGCAGCTACCTACTGACCTGGAGAGGAGTCATAGAAAATGGTTAATCGAAAGGTTGAAGGAAATGGATTGATGTCAAAAAGCTAGCCAAGGATAAGTGATTACTTGTTTTGGAGTAATCATACCATCACAACTGAAAGAGCTGCATCTCCCCTCGACGCTTTAACGGCAACAGAGGATGAAAAAGTAAAAAGTAAAGTAAGTTTTGGAGTAAAACTTTATTTTTTCTTGATTCCTCAGGTAAAGTCGGAGACTGGAAAAACTACTTCACAGTGGCTCAGAGCGAATGGTTTGACCACATCACCAGGAGCAGGATGTTGGGTTCCAAACTGTTCAATTTCAGATATGACCTCTGATTTCGACCACTGTGACCTCTACTTTGACCTTTATTTGCCGGACTGTTGACTTTGTCCTCTGAGAGCATTAGCTGTCGGTTGTGACAGCTTTCTTTTGTTGTTGTTGTTGTTGGGGTTGTTGATGATGATGTTGTGGTTGTTATTGTTGTGATTGTTGCTGTTTGTGTTGTTGTTTTTATTGATGTTATTGATGTTGCTGTAGTTGTTTTTTATGTATTTGTGTCATATCTTACCAAAAGTGGTGATGATGATGATGATGATGAAGATATGTACATGCCCCCAATATACACTGTGTGTGTTTGTGTGTGTGTGTGTGTGTGTGTGTGTGTGTGTGTGTGTGTGTGTGTGTGTATGTGTGTGTCTTTGACTGATAGACAGAGAAAGAGAAAGAGAGGTAGAGAGAGAGAGAGAGAGAGAGAGAGAGAGAGAGAGAGAGAGAGAGAGACAGAGACAGAGACAGAGCCAGAGATAAAGAGAGACAGAGAGACAGAGAGCACAGAAATCAAATCATTTATATCATACATTACGCAGTAGCATTATATCTTTATGTATTATAAACTATGTTTTCTATTTAACAAGTAAAAGTGTTACGTACTTTAGTGCGGTCAAAAATTCACTATAAATTTTTAAATTAATTTCTTGTAACAGGTTTTACCACTAATAAATGTGTCATTGGTGAGCGGTATCGTAGTCCATAATGTGTATGCAGAATGTGTGAGAGAAGCGGGAAATACTGTGGGAAATTCCATTTTCTGCATGACGGAGATTTATAGTATTTTATATAAATTTACCAAGAAAAGGTTGGGTTTTCTTTTCTAACCTAGCCTCAAATGTTGTTGAAAAATATTATTGTTTAGTTTTTAAAATTTGATACATACTCCTGTGCATAGTATGGATGATATGGATTCACTCGTTAAAGATATATTTGAGGAAAAGTTGAGCCACGATATTTTGACCTTACTATAGCGTTATATATTATTTTGTATCATGAATTGTGTTTTGTATTAAACAAGCAAAAGCGGCATACGTGTCTAAGTCTTCTTCTATTGTTTAAACAATTTAGCCATATAACACTGCGACACGGGGCGAGCAATGTATTTTATTTGAGATATGGGTCTGTTGAAAGGGTAGAATCGTTATTCAGGTCTGGCATTAGATCAGCCAGGTGGCACAACAGACACTCGTCGCATGCTGACTATATAAAAATTAACCCTCTCTCAATCTTTCTCTTTCTCTCTTTCTCTCTCTTTCTTTCTCTCTTTCTCTCTATCTCTCTATCTATCTATCTATCTATCTATCTATCTATCTATCTATCTATCTATCTATCTATCTATCTATCTATCTATCTATCTATCTATCTATCGATCTATCTATTTATCTATCTATCTATCTATCTATCTATATATATATCCCTTTCTCTTTCTCATTCTCTCTCTCTTTCTTTCTCTCTGTCTCACACACACATACACACACACTCACACACACACACA